CACAATATCATTATTAAATCTATTTTATTAAAGTAAGAACATATTTGTATGTGTGTGTGTGTGTATATATATATATATAAAACACCTACACATATATATGTGTTTAGATATGTAATTCATGTTGAAATTTTAAAGTCTTAGAGCTCTTAAAAATACCTGAAATATTACAAAATTACAAATTGTTTATCCAATTAAAAGTAATATGTATTAGGGAAATAGCTACATAATCACTTCAGAAATTGATTTCATCACTAAGTTGAAAATTTTGCAAATGAGAATTCTAGTAAAGTGTCAATTAGTTATATCTGTTACAATATTATCTTCTGAAAGTAAAGAAAGAAAGGAAATTTCTATTATTATATGATTAAATACTATTTTATTACTTAATACATGTATCAGTACTATGTGTACATGTTCAACAATGAACTATAATAATCCTGTTAGTGACAGATCAGTGACACTAGGCAAATTGTATCATACAGACAAGGTTAACAAAACAGAAAAATACATCACAGTTATTATATTTCTTATCAGAGAGTAAATATCATTCCTTGCACATGTACTGTTAAAAGTATGAGCATGATTCTGAATTAACAAACCAAGTTACAAAATGCAATGATGTGAAAAAATATTGTGAAACTACAAAAAGATGAAAATTATCTAATTACTTTCATTACAATTAGTAGTTATAATTCAAAATGTTTTGTATTGTTTAATTTTTAAATGTCTATTTTGAAGTTTAAAAAAAATTCAAATGGATGATACCTTTATTTAAAAGTGTTATTAAACATAAATTATTTTTAAGTTACATTTATTTATAAGAAAACAAAGAGAAAATAAAGAACAAGGTGAAAAATTATCATTCATCCCATTGAAGTCAACTCTTCACCCTCCAAAATAACCTACCAAAGTATCAAAAATAAATAGCATGTATACCACATCTTCAGGTAAACCAACTGCCTAGTTTATAACAAGTAATTCTGTTGAAGAACAAGTCAACATCTGGGCTTACAAAGCTTAAACCAATAACTTTTGATATTCAAATCTGTGTTATTTTTTAACATTTTCATATAAAGACTGACAACACTCATAACAATTTTAAACATTTCAATCAAGCTACATTTCACTCTTCCAGTCCTAAAAAACCTATCATTCAATACTACTACAACCATTATCATTACCAAATAATGAAAAATTTTAGTTCCTTTATAATTTTGTTCACAAAATGTATCTGCATATAGAAATATGATATAAAAAAAGAAACCTTTGAAACATATCCAGCCATTTTTCATTTAACTATAAAACTTCATTTTCAGAATGATTAAGTGTTAATTGGGAATCAATCTTAATGTTATATTTAAATATGTTATTTTTTTTCTTTAGTTTGATTTTTTCTTCTTAATGTTGTTGGATAAGTATATGGTTATGAAGGGTTACATGTTGGATTTTTTTTTTTTGCTTGTGGGTGACCTCATTAGACTGAATGGCTCTCCCTAACCATGATATTTCTTATTTTCTTTTATTGATCTGTAACAACTTTGGTGTTTACTGATTGGCTTTTCCCTAAGTCTTGAGTATCACAGAAGATAAAGAAACTGGTAAGTATAAAAACCTGAACTGTTACAAGGTTAGCTTTTTATTAATTAATCTTTTTCTTTCTTTACTATTTAAACATATCTTCTAATAGGGTTGCTTACTTCATCCAAATGGAAAAAAACAGCAAATGAATATATATGGTACAGTGTTTATATCAAGACAGAATAAATATATAAGACTGGTATGTTTGAAAAACAATTATGTCTGTAATTCAAAGAGACTCTAATGGAGTTTTT